TACTCCAGTGTTCTCGAGTCCCTACGGACCAACAAGTACAATATTCTAAACATCTTCCTAAAAGATGTGACCATGGACTATGCAGGCAGCTTTGACAAAGACGAAGTGATCCACCACCTGACACCAAACGAAGGGTTTCGTATGCAATGATGTACAACAGATGCACACAGAAAGATTCTGAACAATACAGTGACCAAGTCAGAAACAACTGTCTCACAAACATGGGGGAATCCATGATGGCACTCCGGTTTCACTATTGGCTGTACATCACACCACATTCAAAAGGAACAACATTGAAGACTGATAAATTGATTAATAACAATGAAACTAGTTAGTGAAAAAACGTTATATTTTATTACAAAATTGACTACTTCTCAAGATGTCAGTTTCAACTTCTTTCCACAACTGCATCAAGGATGAGGTTGCTCCGGCCATCTACCTGTGGGAAGGGTACTAATTCTACTCTCTATGTACACCCGGGGAAAGGAAAGCATTAGTGAAGGCTAGAGTTCTTCGACAATCGTGTATGCCTATGCATGGGTGGCCATCTCACTGACCTCAAAAATATAGCTGTTTGCCAGGAGTGAAGGAAGCAAAGATTAAAAGAACATGCATGATAAATCTTGGACATCTTTTCACACAATAAGTTGTAAATCATTTCAAAGTATGAGTAATAAGTTGAAAACTTTATTGGCAAAAAGCAGTTAATTTCAATTAACATTTTAAAATGTCTTACGAAGAGTTTCATGTTGAATTTTACATTATAATAAGAGCAAAATAACATACCTACTTTATATAAAAAATTGAGAAAACAATGATTGTGTTGCCATGGCCAAAATGGCAATAAAAAATAGTTTGTCTCATTCAAAAGAACTCAACTTTATTACCGATTTGTCATATCTTGCTTAGACAAAATTAATAAGCTGTCCTCCATCTTGGACTAAGCATACAGCTTAGCATTTCACTCAACGAATCTTGTACTGGTAGTCACTGCTAAAGCTCCCTAATAACTACTTGTAAGCCCCATGCCCATGGGCTTGCTTATACTCGGGAGCCAAGGTTTTGTTTGAAATGGCCTGAGCGTTAGGTAATGACATCTAAAAGGGATGGACTTATAAATGGGGGTTATACACGGTGTGCTTATATACGGATGTTTACGGTATACTAATAAGGTATAAAACCACCACTCGTTTGCCCAACGTTTCTTCTTTCATATTGCATATTATAAGCTCAGACTTTTTTTTACTATTGACATGCTCTGATCATTTTGTCACATCTGCTCATTTCAAGGAGGTGGGGTCACATGATCAAGTGTTGCAAACGTCATATTACATTATATGATGGTTTTTGTCCATTCGCCTCACACTATGGCAGATTTACCATAGTGTAACGTTTTGCATTTGGAGTGTCAAACATAGTGGTCCATAGTTAGCATGCTACAACAAAGCAATAACAGTGTAAACACAATATAGTCTCAATACCAGAGTAAATTTTGAACAGAATGTTAGCCATAGCATAACATAGACATAGTGTAAACATGGCCTGATAAAGGGAGAGGAAATAAGGCTATGCTGTTTTTGTGTTTGATTCTTAAAAAATCATCACAACTATATATATAACCAGGGGTTCCTGTGCTGTGATGCATGTTGCACATAAAATAGCAAAGTGTTGCTTAAATTTTATCTACTTTGTCTTTTTGCCATGCTTTTTGCGACAACAGTGTTGAGATGTGTTTCGATTGCAGGGGCTGGTACACTTAGCCAGGGGTGGAAAAAGTATCGGAACCTGGGAACCAAGTCTCCAGTAAAATGCAAATTAAATAGAAAACAAATAAGAGTGATGGAATAAATAAGATGATAGTACACTTAGTTAAAGCGTTAGATCCTTATAGTTGGTCATAACTGTGGTATATATAACAGACAACTATAGCCATGGTTGTTGAATAAGGTACACAGATACTTCTTAATTAGTTTTTTTTGGCGTGGTGTTGCTTTGATAATGCCCAAGCTGCCATCTCTATATAAACCACTTATTACCATGCTTCATTGTAATAAGGTGTAGTATGAAAGATCTGACCAATTCACATGATTCGGCACCATCAAAGCTACCCATAGTGACATCAAATAGATTTGATGATAATTTCTTTCCCCAGTTCCAAGTTGTACAAGCACAATTTCTTCGCGGTATCTGTGATGTTATCATACTTGGATGCAAAATCTAACACAGCCTTCAGCAGATCAATTGAGATGGATGGATAGAAGTCGATAACATCAAATGCAATAAACGAGTGCTGGCTCTTATCAGTAACTTTACTAGAAAATACATACATGCAGAAACCCTCGCCTTACTGACAAAAACCATCGTATTTTCCGAACATGAAGTATCTAAAGTAGTTGTCATGGTAACACGATAATTTTTTAAGAATATTCTTACAAATGCAAAATAATCTAAAAATATCACTTTTAATTACAAAATTATCAATTTCCCAACATATATATGTTAGGTATGCTATTATACATAATATAAGCTTCAATTTAAGGTAAAATTCAACCACAAACGCTTTGCAAAACGTTTTAAAATGTTCTTTATAAAACTAAAATGCCTTTAATTAAGTGGCTTTATCGATAAACTTTGAGTTTGCAATAAAATGATTTCAAATTCTTGCATGTAAATAACTGTGCTTTCTTTTTTATTTAAAAAAATCAATATAATAAAAAAGGGAATCAATACTCACACGGCGCTTCGCACTGTCGGCTCGGGATTAAATCAGGACAACACAGACTTGATGTTTTTCCACTGGTTTATGTGCGTTGCTTCGATGACTTTCGTTTAATTCTATCCAGGATTTGTTTGCTAACTCTTGCAATTTCAGATTTGCTCGGGTTGATAAGACGGCAAGTCACCGGGTTGTTTCCAAAATTAGGTTTGTGATGTTTCAACGTAACAAAGGCTTCTCTCTGTGCTGTGGTGTTGATTCTATCAGCAAGGTTTAATTTTTCAGTGATGGATTTGGCTTTGTTTTCAATGTTGCAAATGGTCTCAGCCGGAATTGTCTTATAGGTTTTACGAAAACCTTTACAATTAAAAAAGTCTCCTATGACTGCTGTAGATGGACGATCTTTCTGAAGTGCATGTTGATTAGACATTTATGACTCGATTGAGGTAACATTTCTTCAATAGTCTTTATCAACAAAGCAAACTCCTTCAGGGAAATGTTGAAAAATTCTGAAACAACACGGCCATGTTCCATCATTACTCGCGAGTTGTTCCTTACAACAGGCAGCAACACAGCATGTGCGAATTACAGTGAACATAGAAAGCTTTCTTGTTAATCAATTATATCGTTCTGAGTTGTTTTTGACTTATACATTATATTCTTTGGGGTGCTCTTGAAATATTATTCCAAAGACTGCCCAGCGCAAATCACACCATGGATAATGAAAGCAAACACACTGGATAATGACACTGCCTCTCATATGACTGCTGTAGATGGATGATCTTTCCGAAGTGCATTCAAAGCAATGTTGGATAAACACATTGCAAATGCATTTGAAGGGCAGCAGAACCTGCCTTTGTGAAGCATAAAATGAAGCATTCACTAATACTGGTATGGCAACGCAAGTGGACAGCAAAGTTTTGCTTGTAATTTTCAAGTAGTTTAATTTAATCCATATCCATCAGCTAGACTATGTGTATGTTTCATGTACTTGAACCACATAAATTTCCGCTTCACAAGCTCAATTTTTCAGAAAATGTCTTAATATTTAATACGTTTTGCATTTGGGCCCCCTTTCTTGAGTTTTCTTTGGGGGGTGGGTGTCACCCCCTGAATTTATCCCCCAGTTGATAAATAATTAACCTTTAAATATTAGACTATACTGTACTTAAACATAGACACTGAGCAATTTATACTTATCATTTTTATTGTTACTAGGGTGTTGCACCAACCAGGTAAGATTAAACACTTGTTGATAAAAAATTGGGAGCTGTTGTCATTCCCATTATTTCTCCACATAGAGTGAAGTCATCATTGGTTATGGCAATTGTAGACTCAACTGGCTTTCCATCACTGAGAAACTTTCGAGTCATTACTTCCAGCAGTTCTACAATTAAATAGTTTGCAACAATTACCTCCATAGCTTGATGTAAATTATAAAAATTATGTACATATTTCGGCCTAAAATCACAGCCTTATTTCAAATCAATTTGCCAACAAACAATTTTCAAAAAATACGTTATTTAACAAACCAAATACATGAGAATAATTCTGTCCTTGGACCACCTTCGCCACTGATGGTTCTCCTGAAAAATTACTTTCACCTTCCTTCTTGGGGATATGTTTCTTTGTCGTGCTTTTTTCAAATCTTGCCAAAAAAATTTTCGCCTTACTGTAAGCCGTTTTGGGTCGTCATTGTTCATCTTTGCAGCAACTACACTGGAAATTTTTTATATACTCTTTTAAATCATTAGTGGGAACATTTTCCACATTGGCTATTAGATGGTAATTAGTCAATATCTTCAACAAACCACATAGAGCAATTGTCAGCATGACTTTCAATTTCATCAAGGGGATAGTTATGCAAACATATCGGACATTGTATATAGTACCCTTAGAAGTCAATGGCAAGTGTGTGCAATCTTCTGTTGTGTTCTTATCCTCTATTGTCAGTATTGGCACAGAACTCGACATTGTATCAGTTGATGAATTAGATTTGCTGGTAGTATAAAGAGTAGATGGACTGAGCAAGTCGTCGTCATTATCATCACAGGAGTCATTCATAAGGTTTTCTATAAAATCAGTTGAAGAACAAATATAAAATGTGATTCGACTACAAGGCTTGTCGATTTCATCTTTGTAACGTTGTAGCGTGTAATTGTTGAATCTGCTATGCTTCTTAAAAGTTTTCGTTAGCAACTCTTTTCTTGTAATTGAAGGCAACACAGTCAATGGAAGTGTGCCACCTCTTTAACCTTCCATCCTTCAAAATCACTACACCCACATTGATTTTTACTTCTTGTGTCTGTTTTTCTTGTCTTTGGCTTAAAATATCTTGACCTCTCAACTTCTTTCCGTGTGCAAAACAAACTAAACATTGAAGGTACGCTTTTTCTCTAGCCTGTATACCATGATTTAATGTATCTGAAGAACCATTTTGGGAAGGTGAGTTTGAATTACCGTTCCCGCTGTTATTTAAAACACTCTTTCCAAAATTATGGCAATATTTTCCGTAAAGAATTGTAGGTTTACCACAACCAAAACGGAACATTTTGTACTTTTTGCCAATTTTATGTGGTAAATCGTAGCTAAGCCTGCGAACCTTATCAGCGGCTACAACATGCGATCACAGGTAATATATAAAAAATGCAGCAATAAAGCAATAATAATAGATAAAAAAATGCAGCAACGATATAAAATGCAGCAACAATATATAAAAATGCAGCAGTTATGTATAAAAGTGCAGCAACAATATATAAAAATGCAGCAACAATATAAAAATGCAGCAGTTATATATAAAAGTGCAGCAACGATATATAAAAATGCAGCAACAAAACATAAAATGCAGCAAGGAAAACTATATTTTGTCTCGTATTAAATTAATTTGTCATTTGTTATTAAATTTAGCAGGTTCCCCTCTGGGCCACCGTACATTTCTTATTGACATGTTAAATGCTATGACAGTTAAAGAAATTGACATTAACAACACCACATATGAGTTGAAAGTTAAATATTGATCTATTTACTCGATCATTATGAATATTGAACACATAAACACAGTCTTATTAATTGAAGGTGGATGTGGTAAACCGTAAGAGTTGAATTATTTATTATTACTGAATTAACATATAATTTTAGCCACAATTAAAAAGCCTTTATTAACTGCCTCTTGTAATTTATATCATGGTTCAAACAGATCAGATAATACCATTTGTTTTATAGTTGGACAAAATATGTGATTCAAATTATAAGATCAAACTGTCAAGGCACTGATTTTCTTCCATCTAAGAAAGACTCTTGTTGAACATGGTCTGTAAATTAATATGCAGTCCATTTGTGAGTGTAGACAAGCCCCTATGAGAAAAAGCTAGTTGAATTGATTATAGTATTGAAATTATTCAAACGTTTTGAATAGGCCTTGTGCAATGCACTGACATGATGTGGAACTGGGGCTGGTTGTATAAACTTGTAGTTAAGGCCCATACAAGCACAGTTCAGGAATGGAACATGAATTTTCAGTTTTCTAAAAACAGATAAAAGTTTTTCAAGATATGCAGCGCAAATAGTTAAAATCACTTAAGTGGTTCCCAATATTTGAAAAATATTGCAAAACAGTAAAGTTATTAAATGTCATTGAAATCGTATGGGCCTTGAGCATACCAAATCCAGTTCGATCATAAGCATGTTGATATATCATGAAAATTGTGCAGTATGCTCATAAACATGCTCATTAGCATATTACAAGATTTTGCAAGATAAGACACTAAATCATGCAGTATGCACATAAGGATACTCATGAACATATCACTGGATTTTGGAGGAAGATATATGGCCATGCTCATGGCCAAACCAAAATCTGGTATGCTCATGAGAGTGCTCATATGTACAGGGTGTCCCAAAAAAACGAAAACTATTGAAATCACTTATTGTTAAATTTGAATGCCCTACCAAACAGCTGGACGTAATGATGCGTAAAATATTGACAAGGTGCATGTATTAGAATTTAGTTAGGAATATCTCCTGGTAAAGTGTGTGATTTTCTGCTCCTGGGAATTAAAAACAGCTTCTTAAACAGTTTCTTTATGCATAAAATTTACTTATGTCAATAATTTATGCACTCGTGGAAACCAACAGAGTGCTAAGGCATTCAAATTCTAACAATTAAATTGTTATTGGTGATTTCAATAGTTTTCGGTTTTTTGGGACACCCTGTACACGAAAATCAAGCAGTCTGCTCATTAACATGCTCATAAGCATGCTACATAAGTAGTATACACAGTGGGGTGCACTAAGCACCACCCATCATGTTGTCACAATATCATATCATACCAATTACACATGGTTGTAATGTATTTAAAGAGTTGGAACCAATGATTACTAGCATGTTAAGAATTTTTTTACAGTTAATACTTTGCTAATTACTTATATTCTAATCCCCACATATATTCAGTTTAACAAACAGTTGAGTGAATTTTAACACATTCTCGATATATATTCTACTAAAGTTGTTGCAATACTTGTGGGACATAGACATTGTACTTATATGCATGCACAGTGAGAATTGTGTATTATGAAAATTCTTGACTTATAGGAGATTCCGGGTGAATTCTACAGAGAATACCCAGTTTATTCAAAATTCCCCCAAATCATAAACGACAATAGAAATAGAGTATAAACAATGTATTTGAATTCACTGTATTACAAGGTTTTATTAGATTATCTTAGAGTGTCCATTAACACCATTCTAAGGTTTCCCTGGGGATGTATTCACCATGTTTAGGACTATTAATTAAACAAGGAATAATAAAAATCCAGACATACATATGAACATTTTTAAACTGAACTAAGAGTTGCCAAGCCCAAGTTAAAATCTCTGTCAATGCTGTTGTTATGGTCAATATTTGCATATTACAGAATCATTAAAAAGTAATTAACCTGCCCACACCGAGTAAATATATACAAGTTTTTATTTCACCCAGTGAGCTTGAGAAAATAAATAAAATACATTTATTTCTTCAAAATGTTTAACAAAGTTATGCTTCTAAAAATATATCTTAATTTTTTTGAGGTGTTTCACTATCCGATTCGTCATCTTGGCTGCTTTCATCATATTGATATCCTAAGATATTGTATGATATTGTACGATACTGTATGATATCCTAAGATATTATTGATATCCTAAGATACTGTATGATATCCGAAGATATTGTATGATATCCTAATATTGTTGATTTTATGAAGAAGTACCGGCCAAAATACAGCAGAAATAATATAAATTGATTGTTTGAACGACAGAACAAAAAACATAACGTGAACGTATACATGCGCCTGCGCTATTAGCGTCCGTATATTCAGTACTTTATATAATCAGTACATGTAGTGTTTGAGTGTTCATAAAATCTATTAGTTCCAACACTCCCACTCACTCAGCATATTACTGTACTATGATAAGTCCAAGTCTTGCTCGAAGATTTTCAAACTGTCCTCGCGGTAAAGGCTTCGTGAAAATATCCGCAACCATTTCATGTGTAGGACAATACTTCGATTGTTTTATCTTGAATTTTCTCTCAAACAAAGTAAAACTTAATATCGATATGCTTTGTGCGCTTGTGTAAAACAGGATTTTTTGACATTGCGATTGCCCCTTGATTGTCCTCGTTAATAGTGGTTGGACTCGAACAATATATTTGCAAATCCTTGCTTAGTTGTCGTAACCATACACTTTCTTAAGTTGCTAAGTAAAGGGCGATATATTCGGCTTCAGCTGTTGAAAATGCTACCGTAGGTTGCTTCTGGCTTGCCCAACTAATGGCACCATTGGACATTACAAATATGTTGCCAGAAGTAGATCTTCGATCATATGAATCTACGGCCCAATCTGCGTCAGAATATCCTTCTATATCTTTATCACTTGCTTCGTACTGGAGATGCAGTTTAACTGTTCCCTTCAGGTAGTGAAATACAAGATTTACAGCAGTAAGATGTGCTTCATTAGTAGACAATTTAAACTTTGCTAACATACCAACTGCATGAGCTACGTCGGGTCAAGTAACTATAGCTGCATAAAACAGGCTTCCAACCATCGATTGGTACTCAACAGGATCTACTGCTTTGCTGTAACCATCATCTTTCACCAGCTTCACATTCACAACCATCGGCGTCGATACAGGTTTACAATCTTGTAACTTGTACTTGTGCAATATCTTGTGAATATACTGCTCTTGGCTCATTTGCAAAACACCGTCCATCATTTTAATGTTTACTCCAAGACAGTAATGAAGCTTACCCATATCTTTCATCTTGAAACGAGCTGTGAGACTGGCCTTCAAGTGGATCATTTCTTGCTCGGTTTCGGTTAAGAGTATATGATCATCAACATGTACAGCAGCTCATAGTTAATATAATGAGAGGGTTTGGAGGGCCCAGTCACGTGACAAAATAACTTATTGTTCTTTGTCACGTGGAAGCCAAGGTGCATTCTACGAGGTGTTTACATAGTAAAATCATATAGATTAAGCTAAAGGGGAACACAAAATCATCGTATTTAGGCGTTTTTTTCGCGATGCCAGGAGCGAATTGCTCCATATTTGGTTGCGTGACAAGTCAAAAGCACGTTGGAGTAGGAATTTTTAAAATTCCTGCAGGAACAGAGGAATTATCGCACAAAACCCGCGAAGCTTGGATAAGTGTTATCACGAAGGACCGCTCTGTGGACGAAAGTTTGCGTCGACAAATCAATAGCGGAAACCTGTATGTATGTGAGAGGCATTTTAGGAAAGAAGAATATGAATGTTGTAAGTATACCTTATTTATCTACATTTCCATATCAGTGCGGTGTTTAAGGTCAGGACCTTTAGAGTCGAAAACAATAGTGCTCTGTATGCAAATATATATCTTTTGGCTGTTTCGAATATTCATAGTCGTATAAATTTGAATAAACACAAGTTTGCGTGAGAATACTCGGTCAAATATAACCTTAGCCGAAAACTTTAAAGCGGTGAATATATTTTTGTATGAAATTTACTAGTAAGCAGAATGTTTTGAAGGCTACAAATGCCTATTAATATATAAACGCAGGCCTATTATGTGATTATTAATATATCTACAGCTTTATAGATTAGTGAGTTTATAGTTTAAGATATTTATTAGTGATTTTTACGGTGTGTAACATATCGCATTTTATATTAAAACTGTATACATTTTTTTACTGTATAAATTAGCTCAACTCTTGCGCATAGTAATACATAGTCGAGACTATTACAGTATTTAAAAACGCTTCACTGTATTGATGGAAACTTAGAATTTCTTGGGGATTTCGGACTGTCAGATTTCAGAAAGAGGGATTTATATAGAGGGATCCGCATTATACAATGTTTTGTGGTGTATTTATTCCTTGCATGGATGGGTGAGAACCTTGTCTTTAGACACAGTATAATAATCTAGACTGACCATTCTGTGGTTGACAAAGGTGTGCCAGGATGCTCACAATCATTGAGTTAAACAAGACGCCTGCTCAAGCGTTCACACTGGCCTGAAAATAATGAGATACGTGCTATGGTGCCAAAGGCAGGAATACAAATCTTAAACCGCAAGCAAATTTTATGGACTTTTTAAAAAAATAAAAGACCTTTTCGGGAGACGTAATGGAGATCGATGCACATGCAAATCATGCCGACCTACAGAATTGATTTCCGGTTTTTCCTAACAGCGTGTTGTTTTCATGTGCGTTCCATGGGCCACACTAAAAATATAAATATTCTGTAAATACCGAAATAAAAGATGAAAATCTCAAGACACAAGCTTGAAAATAACACTATAAATAGTGTTTTCGATTCTGGTTCCAATAACATTAACACGAAAAAGATATGTCCAAAGGGGCCGAAGTTATGTTCGGCAAAATGTATGGCTAGTTTACATTGTTTGTTGTATTAAGAAATATGACACCATACTTGTATTAAAATTCGCGTCGAACTAATGTTATTGTAAATGAGTAGACTTTCCACAAGTCGACCTCGAATGAAATGTGTTTCTTCGAGGTTGACTTCTGGCAAGTCTAGCAAATGAGAACCATACAAATGATACAATAATGGTTGTACTGTAGTTCTTGTTGGTATTTTGAACGCACGCTGTATCTTTAGTATGGCTACCACAAAGCTTTTCGCGCGGATTATATTTCGTGGAGTACTAAATATTATATTTTGTTGTTTTCGAGTCATTACACAAAGAAAGTCCAGAGTACGACACAACGTAAAATACATAGGAAACCACCGGCACAATTCTTTGAAAATTCAACGAAACTGTGTAAAATATAGTTTGATCACTCTGTAAAAAGCCGCCATTGCAGTTCGGAATTGTGCGTGTGCGTACAAGTGTATAGGCTAATAAACGAAAGATGTACCACAAGCATGGCATGAGTCGGCTATTAAGTACATATATACAAGCTTATTACTATACTATCTAAATCATGGAACCAAGGGAATCGATGGCATTTTAGCTTAATCGTTGCACCCTGAGCCTGCGATTAGCTAACGCAAACTCGATTTCTCGACTACGAAAAAAACAGAAAAAGGGGGATTTAAGACACTTCGCCTTACAGGCCAGTGTAACTAGTGTCTAGTGTCCATTTAAAAGTAGGTCTTTTTATTTTTTAGTTTCTACTCGTAAGATACTAACTCAAGGAGCAATCCCGTCTTTGAATTTGCCAGTGAAGAGCATACCTCGTCCACCTCCTGTTACACCGAGACGCGAGCTTGTCCGGCAGCAGATTGATGTTCCTGTCCCAGTGGTTTCTCGAAACTTAAAACACTTTTAACGAAAGATATTGCCACTAAAGATGAAAGGGAGGTCCAAGAAAGAAGACGAGGACAGTATAGTTTTTGAGTTTTTTCAATCACCTTATACCCTACCGAAACTTTCCTTGGCAGTTGTGTCTGGACTTAACTTTTCTGTTGCTGTATACAACTGGTTTTTACCAGATGACCATTATATATACAGTGATCACAAGAGATCATTAAAGTACACATCAATCTCCACCTTGATGACCACTTTGGAAAGTGCTCGAATTTGTGAAGGTATAAGTAAAGAGGAACACATTGTCTCCCTGTGTGAAGATCCCAGTCCCACCTGTGGTTCCAGCAGTGTGATGCAACATACAATCCCAATTGAGCGGAAATTGTATGAAGAGGATGGTCCACCATTTCAGACTCGTGTGTTTATCAGGTCTGAACATTGTGAATTGCTTTGCAATGACATTTCCTGTTCTAAATGTATCCAGAAGGAAAAATCCCTCAGCAAAATGAAATCGAGTACATCAAAGAAAACGACTGAGCCTCTCAAGGGTAATGCACCTCTGACTGGTTCAAGTAAGGAGAGGTTAATTGCCACTGTCCAAAAGCAAAGGCTGGTATGTAAGGAGCTTGAGGGTTGAATATCTGAACTAGAGAAGGAAATTGAGAGTAACAGCATCCCCATTGATGAAACGATGGAAAAGGATATCTTGGCCATTCTTGCAGATAGAAGTGATGAAGTTACCCCACACATGAAAGTTTTCTGGGAGCAACAAAGGAAACTACTGGCAATGCCAAAATTTGGAAGGAGGTAAATGAAGTATTGTATTATTAGAAGTTAGAATATGTACTTTTTAATATTCTAGAGTATTTGCAAAATACTCAAACAATAGAAATCACTCAGCTGTTTGGAAACCAGGGTTTCCAAACAGCTGAGTGGTTTTTATTGTTTGAGTATTTTGCAAATTCAATAGAGCAATGAATATCGGTCGGTGAACAGTCAAGTGAATTCATTGTTCTCAAGTGTAAACTTGGAAACCCTGGTGCAACACGAGCCACAAGTGTATGAAATAACTTCTTAATCGACAATAGTCTATTGTTTTACTAGTCTATGTGGCTTGCGAGGTCAAGTAAAGTTGTGTGATTAAAATTTGCAAACTAACCTACATTGGTTTGTTAATTTATAATTAAGAATTGTGGTAATAACACCGTTTTCATTGTTTTGACTGTTTTCATAATTAACCCATTGAGTGGCAGCACTGTCCACTTGACAAGTAAAATTGTCTGGCGTTAATTAAACAGCGTGGCATACTAAATTAGGGCGCATCAGGGTGAATTGCCACTTAAAAGGTTAAGGAATGTTGTAATGGCTCACTTGTTATTGTCTCAAGCATTTATTATCTAATTTCTTAATTACTGATTCAAAATTTAGATCTTTACTGGGGTTTAGATCTTTACCAAATTTAGATCTTTACCAAATTCATGCATGTGACAAAATGTTTGTGTTTGATTGGTCTATTTGCTCATGAATTATTAATGAGTAAATATATTTTCCCCCTCATTCATACTTTACATGTTCTTTGTAGTATTACCGTAAACCTCTGACTATAAGCCCTGGGCTTATATTCTTTTTCGTAAGCGATTTTTGATGGGCATATACAAGGAGGTGCTTATACGGGAGGTTTTATACATGGACGGTCTTTTGTGTTAGTGTATAGTGATAAAAAAGTATAGTAATAGTAATAAACAAGTGTTAAGCATAGTAGTAATAGTGATTAATAGTGGTATGAGTTGGTTTGGAATGAGGTGAGCATTAGTTAGTACATGTGGTGTGCTTATACATGGGGGGGGGGCTTATATTTGGGGGGAGGCTTATATTCGGAGGTTTACAGTATTATTTCTCACACACCACCCTACTAATAAAGCCATTACTATTATATTATTATTATAGGTACCACCCTCACATTATCTGCTTCTGTCTGTCCCTTCATGCCAAGTCTCCGGCAGCATATAAAGAATTGCGAGAGTCAGGTGTTCTGGTGCTGCCAAGCGAAAGAACTCTTAGGGATTATCGGAATTTCTTCAAGCCAAGGGCAGGCTTTCATCCAGATAATGTTGAAAGATTGAAGAACCAAACCAGCCGGTATTTTGACATACAGAGATATGTTGTCCTTTCATTTGATGAAATGAAAATTCAATCGAAGGTGGTATTTGATAAACATTCCAATGAACTAATTGGGTTTGTTGATCTCGGAGAAGAGGAATTGAATGTACGTGGTGCTGCCAGTGATCTTAAGTATGCCCTTGCATACTTTCTTACCAAAGATGTTACTTCTTACCAGATCATGCATTTGTTTTGGAAAGCAGTGTCCATACTCAAGCTTTTGTGCAACCTCTGGGTTTGTGCCGCTGTATCTGATGGAGCCTCGCCAAATCGACTCTTTTACCAACTGCATGCTGATTTGATAGAACCAGATGTCGAAGTGGTACACTACACACCCAACCTTTTTGCTCCAAGCAGGAACATCTACTTCTTCTCCGATGCTCCACATTTGCTGAAGACAACTAGAAACTGCCTCTTCAATTCCGGTAGTGGTAAGCGCACACGTAGCATGTGGAAAAATGGGAAGTACCTACTCTGGGAACACATTGCCAAGCTTTATTACTCAGATCTTGACTCAGGGCTACATCAGCTACCTAAGTTGACAGTAGATCACATCGCTCTGAAGTCGTATTCGAAGATGAAAGTCAGCATGGCAGTGCAAATGTTAAGCAATACAGTTGCACAAGCTCTACAGCGTCATTGCTCATCAGGAGAAGCACAGGGAACCACTAATCTGTGCAAGATGATGAACGATTTTTTGATTGTATGAATGTCTGCTCCACCACTGAGTACCAGAGAAAGCGCAATGCTTTATTAGCCCCATACAGAAGTGCAGATGATGAAAGATTTGATTGGCTGCAAAATGTATTTTTGGAATACTTAACCAATTGGAAATCATCAACAGAATCAAGAGAAGGTGCATTTACTGATGATGACAGAGGACGCATGTTCCTGAGTATCCAAACCTTTAAGGGATTAACAATGACAGTCAAATCAGCTATCGCAATCACCAAGTTTTTATTGAGTGAGGGGTTTGAGTTTGTTTTGACTGAACGGTTTTGTCAAGATGATGTTGAGGAGTACTTTGGCTACCAACGTGCACAAGAGCGAAGAAGTGACAACCCATCAGCCGCTGAATTTGGTTACAATGACCTAAGAATTGCCACCCTGCGAGATGTTGCACCCCAATCAATCGAGGGAAATGTATCTGGACGGCATTCTGGGAAGAAAAGTAAGTGGTGCAATGTGAGCGATGAGCCCCTGCCCAAAAAGAAAACAAAGAAGAAAACCATAAACTGATTTGCTCTAAATTAATGAACATTTTAATATTTCAGATAGACAGTTGCAACTGATGGAAGTTAGGGGCTTATTTCCCTGACAGACAGTCACCCAATATATTAGCATTGCTAGACACCATTCTTATATATTTGAATTGGATTCTTATGTATTTGAATTGGATTCTAGACACCATTCTTATATATTTGAATTTGGGGCCGCTGTAATTGGCAATAGCTGTTGTGGTTTCCCAGCCAATGAATGTATAAGTATGATGGCAAAGTAAATAAATAAAAAATAAATGAATAAACAGTTATGGTATAGCCTAACCTACACTGTAATTGCCACACATTATGCTAATAAATTGACTGTCTGTCATATTTGCTGACTGCAAGGAAGAAAACTATACACTCATTTACAAATTACATTAATATACATTAGATAGATAACAATGTATTATATATAGCATCAACTCTAAACAAACTTTCATGAGTAATCTAACACTATTTTTCAGAGTCATTCTGAAATAAACACTGCTTTTCAATTTTGTTGATTAGCATTACTGTAAGCTATATTGAAATAAACATTTGTGTACTTGCAATGTACAACAATGGTCCCTAAGAAACCTTTTAGACTTGACAATGTAGTTTAATTAATTTGGTTTGTAAATAATGCCAGTTCAAGTCACTATTTATTCAACTTTTGACTGCAACAGTGTTAGATTACTTATGATAAAATTAATTCACACATTCTTCACTGGCTTTTTTCAGGTCTTTTCGTAGAGCTTTAGTTTTTTGAGTATGCTGACTTCGCTTATACTTATTGACAATATCTTTAGCAAATGAAAAAGATCTGACAGTAACATATAGTTTTACAATATTTTCTAAACATAATGATTGACATTCCTTTGAAATTTGTACATAACAGTTTTGAATAATATTGCACCACAAGTTTTTAACAAGGGAAGAATTTAGGACTTCATTCACAATTATGTCTACTGGAAGACAAGTGACCTTGTATTCCAGGAGTTAGGCTCATATTCCAGGAGTTGGGTTCTCGGCAAGTGCAGAGAACCCAATGGCTGGAATCTGAGCCTAGTATAGCTGTTGTCTGTTGTATATACCTTAGATATTCCTTGGTCATCATGTCCTTTCACCAGAAATCCAATCAGGCGTTCAGGGAGATGGATCAACATAAGGAAAACCATTTTCTGTTCTCCATACGGATGGAAATATTCTTTCCAGTTGGCATGTGAATTCCCATAAAACTCTTTAAGAAATCTGTCTTGATTTCGTTTCCTTTTAAATGTCAATAAGAGTTTATTGACAAAGCTGACAAATGATTCACTTGGATGGAGCTTAAATATCTCAGCTGTTTGTTCCTATTTTATGAAGTTTTTCATCAACCAAGTGTCGACCGATGTCGCGTATTATAGAACATATGTTTTCCATTGATATAACATTTTTGTCAATTTCAGACGAAGATGAACTCTCACCCAATTGTTCCACATGTTTACTTCGCTGGTGCTTCGTCAAGCCACCTTTTGACTTGCATACCTTTTCGCAGAAGGTGCATGGAAACTGCTTCTTTCCTTCAACCTGGAGGGAAAGTTTATAAATATTAAGGTTTTAGAGAAAGTAACACGTATGAAGGATTCAAAAAACCCTTAACTACACCGGTATTTCTATAACAATTGTAATACCTCTTCAAGCGAGTGTTCAACTTCCATTTGAACCTCCTCAATATCCATGTTGAGAAGTTCCATGGTTTGCTCAAAATCGGAACAAAGGCTTACAGGACATTCGGATTCATTTTTTTCATCTATATCCATGTTACCAATGGGTAAATTGTGTGTTTATTGGATTTCTTCGAAGAGTATTTGCCGTCTGAAGTTGAACTAACATTTGGGTGACTTGAATATCAAATATGACACCTGGCACCCCGTCGATATTATATACAGCGGAAGCAGAATGGCCAATGAAATGTAAAAAGGTCTCAAACCGTTGCATGGTCCCAAAGCATGATAAATCTTTACATTTATCAAAACGTTGTAAAACCATCGAAAAAAACCCAATTAATATAGAATTGATATAGATTATACTACGAAATCGCCATGTTATGCACCTTGACTGTCACATGATGCGTCTCTTCGAGTTAATGTGTTGATAGGTCACGTGTTGCTTTGAAGTTTGCCGGCCTTCCAAACTCTCTCATTATATTAACTATGAGCAACTATGGCAAGTTGATCATTGACTTTCCGAATGAAGACACACGGATCAGCAGCACTTTGCTCAAATCCTTGGGATACCATGAATTCCTTGAACGACTTGTTCCAACATCGTGGACTCTGCTTCAATCCAGAGGAGGTTGGAAGCCCTTCCCGGCATGCATTGTAACTCATTCATATTATCGATTTCCCGGGACGCGCCGTCATTGTTCGACTAGCTCTCGTTGTGTTCACTACTCAATTTACAAGGAGTGGTATTCAAAAGTACAAATTGAAAATTGTAAATCATGGCGAATTTTCGTACTGTTCGTGGCAACAAAGCTACTGATTTGGATGGACGTGACAATCTTTATGTACATTGTGTGTCGAAAGAGCGACTGGAGCTGCTTCGTTTTGTGGATATTAACGACAACATTTGGCGTAAAAGTTGACTTATTATATGTTCGCCGAATGCGATAGTCCTTCATTGATAGAAGTCTATTCTAGTTGTGACCTTAAGGTACGATTATTGTATGATTTAATTGGTGGGAAAATGGGCCATTTATAATCGGAAATCATACAAGACTACAAGTATTTGACTTTATGAGTTTATGTCAAATGAGTCAAATCTATTTTAATATCATAAAAGCAGGGAGGAGGGGCAAGGGAGGCAGAAGTGCACTTTGTGTTATAGAAATTCTAACTGCTAAATCTTATCTCCAGTTTTGGGCAAAGTCATGAGGTGTGAACTTGAATGTGACCTGATTAAGTGTTTGTGCAGTTATAGTTCCTTGAGTAGACTTTATTTCCAGAACACAGAACAGCTATCGTCAATCGAACATGCACAATCAGGCTTTCATTGGCAAGTCAACACATAATTGTAGGTCTATAAAGGTGCCCGTGCCTTTTTATTGTTCCAACGTCCCTGTATAAATGCATCAAATCTTTTTACCTGTAGTACTTATGTTGTGTTCTGTTGTGGGAGTTTAACATTCCATCACCAACTTCTGTAACAATCTGACCACTCAAGCTGAATGACCTACCACTGGTGAATTTAGATGAGCCATTGTTATGCAATTGCATTAAACAGCCATTAAATCCTATGTGTTTAGTTAAAATTCATGGTGAAGAGATGCCTGGTGATGTTCAAAGTATTGGTGCAGAAGGTGGAGTTGCAGACATGGACAAGATTGATGAAATTCAGCAGTTGACCCAATTGTTGGGTGTGGAACAGGCTACTAGTAGGTGATGCTAAATACATGAATGATTCAAGCTCTGATTAGGAGGATGGAGACAAGGATTCTGAAGGACAGGGATTGTGGAGGAGACACATTGTATCCTGAGAATTAAGACAAGGATTGTGGAGGATACTTTGTATCCTGAGAAGTTTGTTGTAGCTGGTTCCTGGCGAGAACAAAGATACCATGCAACTTGTGATAATCGTGTATAGATATCAAAAAATCTCAAGTTGAAATTTAAAGTAGAACATGAGCAAGACATTTTTAGTTGAGATTTTCATATAAATTTATTCCTATTAAAACACTGTTATTATTTCAGGTAAATATTTGATGTTAGTATTTTTGCACAAGTGAACATAACAAATGCTACAAGGTGATTGGTCAAATTTGACATATTAATCTGTTATATTATAACAAAATCGAAATGTTCAAAATGGCAGCTAGCTGTTTTGTTGAAGTTAGTAATAAAGAAATAAGCGAAATTAAAATTAATTCAGACCAGAAAAATACAAAAAAACTTGTGCAAAAATACTAAAATAATTATTCGCCTCAGGCTCTGTGATTATCTGGGAATATTCACCTCAGCAAATATTCCCCGATAATCACCTCGCCTTCGGCGAAAATTTTTTAAATATAATTTTACCACTCCTTTTTCAAATAAATAAATGTTTTCAAACTCAATTTGCTGTGTTTGTTTACTGCAGTCATCAAATCCCTACTTTATCTTATAATCCACCTTGTGCATGTGTTCTTAACACTGTTTTAACTGTTGTATATTTAGCACAGATGGATCACTGACCTAAAGATGGATCCAGTATGATGTGGTAGGGAGGGTGCTCTGCCAGCTCTGGTGCCGAGTTGTGTCAGTCATGTGCGCCACCCACCCATCAACTTACTTGACTACAGCAAAGTCTTGCTTGACTACTGTATTGTAATTGTTGTTAACAAACAGTTTACTTATCATCATGTTATTACTCAAATAACTCATTTTGTCTCTAATATGTTTTGCTTTATCATGAAAATATCCCCCCCCCCTGCATACCCTCTGGCCAGGGCTAGGTGGGGGGTGGTCATATAAATGCAGTGGTCATACATAATTGATGTTAATAAAATTCTTTATTCAAAGTTACAATATATAAAGTAAATACTTAAGATTCATTGCAACATTTTCATGTCACCAATACACCAATATTTACATGTAAAATGTCTACTAAAATATGTATCTATTAAAAGGCTGGTATGGGCAAATTTATATAACAGGTTGCTCTTATTTAATATTCTGGTTCAATAAGTTTCATTGCTTGAATCAGTTGAATGGATCATGAGCACAACTTGGCTGGATTAGATGTTATACCATTTGCCAAAGCAGGATGTAGGAACAGTTTGCTCAATAACAGTTCTAAATCAGCATTAAATTCATAAGTTCAACTTTTCCCATACTTAGGATCAACAATATATTAAAACAACATTGCCATCATCAGATTCCATTTTCACAAAATATATTGGTAAAATACAGTGTATTCAACTTAAATGCAGCAGTTAAAGTCAACAACGATCGACATATATGCCCATGCTTCGAAATAAAACAAAAATAATAACGACTCGTACAGTAATTTTCCTCGCGCCATATAAATTCCCATGCGGTCGATTATTCCCGCGATGGGCGACATAGTATACCGAAAATGTCCCATTTTCAAACCGCGATTACTCGTCAGTTTGATGGGGACAATTCATTTTTTAAACGTCTCATAGAAAGAACAACTCTTCCTGAATACGATGGCGTGTCTTTTATTTAATTTCCTCATTTATAAACCCAATTGTCCCCTGCGGTTTTGAAAGCCACTTTTGACACTTGTGCGTTGACCTGGAAAACAGGTCAATCCAAATTGCGATTAACATATAACTAAACGTTGTTAAAACACCAAATAAAGCAAAAATCGTTAATTTGACTCATATTTAAAACAATTATAAAAACTTACCTTCAAAAATACGAACTTTTCGTGGCGAAATATCGAAATAAATATCCACAACTTTTCCAACTAACATTGTGAAAAATCATGATTGTGAATATTAATGAGTTGCAATGCATGCTGGGAAGAGCTTCCACCCTCCTCTGGCTTCAATCCATAGAGAGATTTCTTTAGGTGACACACAAGATTTTCTTTTCCGGGAACAACATAACCTTCTGGCTGCTCCATATAGATATCTTCGTCAAGTGTTCCATTTAGGAAAGCGGTAACGACATCCATTTGATGGATAAACATATTTCTGGAAACAGCAAATGCCAAAAGAGCTCAGATAGATGTAAAGTGAACGACAGGTGAAAATGTTCAATCAAATTCGATCCCGCACTTTTGTAGAAAACCTTTCGCTACAAGACGTCCTTTAAACCGATCGATCTTCCCATTTTCATCATGTTTGACTTTAAATACCCATCTGCAGGTAATTGCCTTTTGTCCGGGTGGCAGTTCAACAAGCTCCCAGGTCTCATTTTCCATTAGAGATTGATATTCAGAATCTGCAGCTGTCTTCCAGTTCTCCGCATGATCACTTTCGAGAGCTTTCTTCAACGTTGTCGGCTCTTCAACTTCTGTTACAAAGAGGGCTGTATGTTTTGCTGTTGTGATACTAGCGTATTCATCAAGATAATAAACTGGTGGCTTTCTTTCTCATGCTGAACATCTACTATCATGTGATTTCTTATCGGATTCTTTAGAGCACTCATCATCCTCAACCTCCAATTGTACTCTGTTTGTATGTCCGAAGTCAGTTTCATTGAAAGTAACATCTCAACGGATAAAGATTTTATGTTTGTTCTCATCATACAATCGATACCCCGTCTGTGTCAAACTATAGCCAAATGAATTGCATTTTCACTGCTTTCTGGTCAAGCTTTCTGACGTGAAGAATCTGCTACATGGGCATAGGCAGTGCAAACAAAAACACAGAAATTTGAAACATCCGGTTTCTTACCGTACCATCGCTCATATGGAGCGACTCCAGTTGCTGTTGTGATAACTCGGTTCCTTATGTATGCTACTGAACAAACTGCTTCAGCCCAGAAACTCTTGGATACTCCTGCATGTAAGATCATAGATAAAGCAGCTTCCTGGAGCGTCCTGTTCATCTGTTTGGCGATACCATTCTGTTGTGGTGAGTGGGGTACAGTTGTCTCGTGATGAATACCTTTCTCTTTGAGGAAATTTTGGAATTCAGCAGACATATATTCACCTCCATTGTCTGTCTGTAAAGTTTTAATTTCGCAATCTGCTAGATTTGTTACTACTGCTTCCCATTCTTTAAAGTTATCCAACACTTCCGATTTGCGTGTAATGGGATAGACGGTTACACACACATCTAGAATAATCGTCAATGAATGTCACAAAGTACCTGGCACCACCAAAACTTTCGGTTTTCATTGGTCCAGCGACATCACTGTGAACAAGCTGCAACTGTTTCTTTGATTGTACTTCTCCCACTGGTTTGAAGGGTGCACAATGTGATTTTCCTTCGGCACAGGCTTCACAGAAGTCTAGCTTCCTGGTTCTAGGCATATCGGTACCTGTTACCATCTCTCTTGAAACCATCGTCTTCGTTTGGCCAGCGTTCAAATGAGCCATTGTTTGATGCCACAGATTTAGTTTGTCACTTGATCTTTCTGCAACTGACACTTGTTTTTCTTGTCTTTCTACTCTGCAGTCCAGACATACATGTTGCCAACAAGATGAACTCTTGCTACAACCTTTCCTTGAGAGTCCTTGATCCAGCAAAGTGTATGCCCAAATTGCACCACTTTTTCTTTCATAGCTGCTGCATGAGCACTAAATAGATTTGCGGCTAACTTGGGAACATACAGTACTTTAAGTCATAGTTGATTTTCGTTCATCTTTCTCTTTAGGACCAAGCAGCATAGTAATGGATATTTTACCAGTCCCCAAAGCATGCACAGATCGACCATCTCCAAGAACAACTGGTTCTGGATCCAAAAACTCTTGATAGTTCATCAATAGATCACAACTTGAAGTCATGTGTTGAGATGCGCCTGAGTCGATAATCCAGTAGTCATCTCCTTTCATAACACTTAGTCCAACAGCAAAAACAGCGTCAGAATCATCATTCTTATCAGTGTCCCCATGAGCAGGAGCTGCATTGTGCTTTGATGATTTTTCAAATTTTCCTTGATTTTCATTTCGTTGATACTGGGGTTTTTCTTTTTCTGAGGACAATTTTGAATAACATGACCTTCTCCACAACCATAACACTTAATAGGCTTTCGATCTAACTTGTTATGTTGCAATGCAGATTCGCAATCCTCAGCTCCACCACCACCACCGACTTTACTCTTACTTTGCTTGCATTTCTCTTCCTCATTTAACAATGCTTGATGCCGTTGACTCAGGTTTAGTTCATCTCCTTTGGCAGTTAGTGCAGTTACCAAGGTGTTATATGAACGTGGTAGACTTAATAGTAATGCGACTATATGCTCATCCTCTGGAATTGGTGCTTTGATAGTGGCCAATTGATCAGTAATCACTTTCATCCTTCGCAAGTGTTCATCAAGAGAATCGGACTCTTTTTCATTTTTAGGGAGAAAAATCTTTGCTTCAGAAATAATTTGTTCGCAATTGTATCTTTTTCAAAGCATTGCTTTAACTTATCCCATATTTCTTTTGGAGTTTGGCATTCGGTTATAAGGTAAATAAGATCCAATTTAATAGACGTAACTATGAGAGCTTTTGTCTTCTTTTGAGCTTTTTCAAACAACGCAGTTGTCCTAGAACTGCTGTCCGATCCACTTGGGTGAGTTAGTGTTCCATCGATAGGACCATACAATTCTCTAGCTTCCAAAATTGCTGTCTTCTGATACTTCCATATTTGCCAATTCTTCGCACCATCAAGTTTATCGATTGATAACTTGTTTTCCTGAGCCATTGCGATAAAAATATATACTACAACAAAAACCTTCACTTGCTATTTCACAGTTTTGCGTTGTCTGGGCCCATAACCTGTTGATTTTATGAAGAAATACCGGCCAAAATACAGCAGAAATAATATAAATTTATTGTTTAAACGACAGAACAAAAAACGTAAAGTGAACGTATACATGCGCCTGCGATATTAGCATCCATATTAACTACTCAGTACTTTATATAAGCAGTACATGTAATGTTTGAGTGTCTATAAAATCTATTAGTTCCAACAAATATACTGTATGATATCCTAAGATTTTGTATGATATCCTAAGATACTGTATGATATCCCAATATATTGTATGATCTCCTCAGATTCTGCATGATACCCCCAGACATAGTATCCTAAGATACTATATTCAATGATTCAATCTATGCCATACCTGATCAAATGCTTTAGTGAAATCAAGGAAGACCATACGTACTTCTTTCTCCATATCCAAGGCTTGATAAATTACATGAACAATATAGATTAGTTGGTTAACTCATTAAGTCTCATTGCGCCCCCATTCGCCCTGGAATTGGGAACAGGGTAAATCTCATTGCACCATGGGCGTCACGTCAACTTCGGGGCACGATTGTCTAGCGCGTATTTATCAGGTTGCCTAGCAACGGTCACGAGTATAAAGTGCAAAATTCGGGCTTTCAAATGATACATCATGCGAGAAAATTTATCAAAAGTTTGCGAAGATTTTCGATTTTAAAACTCTATTTTTTTACAAAACCTGTCACAACTGCAAAGTGTTGCAAGATGGGACTTTGCAGCAAGTTTTAAAGCGGCAATGTCACCTGCTGCGCATCCGTTCTGCGCATAGATCAACTTGAAAAAGTTCACCCAACTTTTTCAAGTTTATCGAATTTCAATAGCGTCTGACCAGGGCGCCATGAGCCGATGCACGGAGGTTGAAGGAAAAATGCTGGTCGAGAAAAAGGTGTTTTCGAGCCGAAAGGCATACAGAAAGTTATGGGAGAAAGAGCACAGAGGATCTATTTAAGTGCTAAGATATTTGATACGTGGCAAGAGGCCATATGAGCATTCAAGTGACACTGACTTTGCTGCACATCTGTTGTCATTATTTGGAATTTCACAGCAGGTAGGTTTACAATAATATGATTTTCAATATATTTTGAAGAGTAAACGAAACTAATGTGCAATTTATTTTGCTTTGGTATTTAAGGAAGTCAACGTCTGCAAAAATACTGTCAAAACAGCGACAAAATTCATTAATTCAAGCACATTGATTCTGGTGGCAACTGAGTCTTCGACTACAAATTTATAGAACACAATGATTCTCACATGGTTGAAGAACAGGCAAACATCAGCCAAGGTATGAAAATCACATTCACTTTTATATAGGATGTGCTTTTAATGGGAGTATTAAAATATTAATATTCAGTTTTAAAATACGATTTTGCAAGGTATATAGACATAAAGAAAAATTGTATCAAAAATTATAAAAAGAATTGGTTTATTTTTATATAATTTACAACATTGACCACAGGTGTTAGTGTTGTATAATATTTCATATTTCCTGCTTTCAGAACCCCAAACATCTACACCATTAAAAATAAAGGTCAGATGACAACACCCTTTCTCATGTTGAGTCACCTGTACACAAACTACAAAGTCATGAACCTTTCCAACAACAGAAGGACCAGGCAGTGGGATGTAAAAGTTGAAAAAGGATTCAAGTGCATTACAGTTCTCATTTCAAAGGTTATCCAACGGGCAACGGATTGACTGCATGATGGTGACTATATCTCCCGCCATGTTTCCTTAAATGCAATCGACCCAGGCCACATTGCTCCCACTGTTGCACACCAGCAACAAAGGACATACCAAAAGGAAAAAGCGGATTTTTGCAATAACTGATGTAAAAGTGGCACATTCCAATTTTGTGCAAAATTTATGCAATTTCTAATGTCTATTATATAAAAAAATCATTACTTACTATATACAAACATAAATTAGAATATAATCAATATAAATTATTAAAATCAAATTCCCTTTGCTAGCAAATTTATCAAAGGTTCATGAATATCATCGTTCTCTGTAACACATATAAACTCCAGTCACAGATGAATAATGTTACAAGTTTTATTTTGAGGACTACACAAGAGGGGCAAACATGGTGATTCATTTTGCCCAAATATCCATGCCGAGCCCATGTGTGAACATAATCCATACTCCTTATTCCTCTTCTTAGACTTCTAATTGCTAGTTTTCTCACTGTGTCTTCATCCAGTGTATGAATAAATGCCTGTGAATTTAATAATGTATTTTATAATAAAATAATGAAATGACCATCCAACAGCTTTAACAATTTCTAGCATCAAAGCAAGATAATGGGTTTAAGTCATGCTATTTGTTTCCATCACAAAGCCTCACTTTGGTATCAAAGCAAAGCTTTTGGTGAGAACAACGAATTCAAATGGCCTGATACACGGTTTGCATGCACAACCCCATATGCATTGCAATTAGCTTCAATTAGAAGGTTAAGGGGTTGGTTATTTTTATTTACTAAATAGCTATTATAGAAAATGTTAGCATATTTCACTTATATAAATATATAATTATGTTTCATTTGGCTAATATTCAGGCATCTGAAGTAGGAAAAATCAGGTCAGCAACAATTTACCATCGGCAAACAGGTCTACAGCATGTTAATTTGCCGCCCAGACATGATGTCCTGACAGGTTGGCAATTTGCATTTGCCGAATTATATTTGCCGTCCTGAACAAATATACTGCTATTTCCCATTTCAAATTTCAGTCTGCGCCATCACTTCCAAATTAGACTTTATCACCATTCAACAGTTTCAACCAAAGTTATTCAACTTAAAGATGTGGTACAGTCCAATCTGCATTTGTGCACATAGGAGCCCTCTTGTTATTATACAAACAGTTTATTTAGGTTTTTATTTCATTTTATGTTCTTGCAAAGCTTGATTGTTGTGTCTTGATAGTTTATTAACTCTAGAATCATGATAATATAAGTTGTCAAATAAAATTCAATATTTTGGATACTAAAATGTAAACAAAACCTTTGTTTACATGCGCATTTGTTTACATACGGACTGTACCACATCTTCAAACATGTTTAATATACCTCATTTTAAAAACGTTTGAAACAATTTTGTCAATTTAACATGTATTAATAGAAATTCACAAACCTTGGCTTAATATCATCGTTTTCTCAGTGTTGCCAGTTGCCAGGCCACGAAGTACATGCACTACATGGTACTTTCGCCAACGTCATTCTACAACAAAGTAGGATAAACAGTAAATATAATGTGGTATAATATGCAAACACAAATAAAAGATACTGTCAAGTACATTTGATTTGCATACATACCCTATTCTTGCAAGGAGACTGAGGAGTTTTGCGATTTCCACACTTGACACTTGCAGCGCTGGCAGAACACACAACGTTCTTTAATCTTTGCCTTACGCGGGCAGCTTCGCTTTATTATTCTCTTTTCTTTTGGTGGCACGTGAACTTTTACAACTATAATTGTCAACCTGTATGAAATGAAGCAATTGTTCGGTCTTTTCCTGCAATTTCCGCAGCTGAAAATGTGAATATATGCACATTTGTATAGTCGGAATGTTGTGATTCCGAGTGATTCCGATCTTTTCCGACATATTCCGAAAATCGGTTTGTTATGCGCAGAACGGATGTGCAGCGGGTGACATTGCCGCTTTAAGGATGAAAAAGAAAAGGTTTTTAAAGAGTTTTACATATAAAATATGCTGTAATACATAACAGAGTGTGCATATGTTTCAAGTCAAGTTCTTGTCCAAATCAAGTCGCGTGATTTTCAGCCAGAAATTTCTTTCAATCTAACGGAAAAGTAAAGTGGGAAATTGCAATAAACATGAACACTAAATCCAAGTGAGTAGTTACGATTTTTTAGCGTGTTTTTGAATGAAAACACCTGGCATGTTTTCATGAAATTTGATATAGCATTAAAGCAAGTTCAATAAAGGCACAGTTCAGCCTGTTGAACAATGGTTTTTAAGGCGTATTTCAGCCCTTTTAATTGAAAAAACTAACTAGGAAAATCAATTAAGCATAATTCAAGATCAGTAAACTCAATGTTTTTAACATTTTAAAACATTTATATTGTTAAAAACATCGAGTTTACTGATTTTGAGTTATGCTTAATTGATTTTCCTAGTTAGTTTTTTCAATTAAAAGGGCTCAAATGCCCCTTAAAAACCATCGTTCAAAAGGCTGAACTGTGCCTTTAAAACAAAGTTTTTAGAAGAACTTTTCGTGCATTTTATGGCATGATTTCGACTGTTTTCATGACCCTACTGTCGGTCTTGCTCAAGTTGTTATTTTGGCCAAAGTACTTTCAGAAGACAGTAGGTTCAACTTGTCATGTGTGTATATGCATTTTTGGCAAGAAACATTTCGAGTAAAACTGCATTAAAACTAAGTAGAATATTCTACAATGAATACCATACCTGTTTCTATAAACTTTGTCTCGAAACAAGCTCTCATTTTAGAGATAATGTGGTTTAAAATCAGTGTATTGAATTATGCCGTTACTTGGCGCATATA